GCGGTGTGTTTTGGATCATTGTCATGTTGGAAGACCCAGCCTCGTTTCATCTTCAAAGTTCTCACTGATGGAAGGAGGTTTTGGCTCAAAATCTCACGATACATGGCCCCATTCATTCTGTCCTTAACACGGATCAGTCGTCCTGTCCCCTTGGCAGAAAAACAGCCCCATAGCATGATGTTTCCACCCCCATGCTTCACAGTAGGTATGGTGTTCTTGGGATGCAACTCAGTATTCTTCTTCCTCCAAACACGACGAGTTGAGTTTATACCAAAAAGTTCTACTTTGGTTTCATCTGACCACATGACATTCTCCCAATCCTCTGCTGTATCATCCATGTGCTCTCTGGCAAACTTCAGACGGGCCTGGACATGCACTGGCTTCAGCAGCGGAACACGTCTGGCACTGCGGGATTTGATTCCCTGCCGTTGTAGTGTGTTACTGATGGTGACCTTTGTTACTTTGGTCCCAGCTCTCTGCAGGTCATTCACCAGGTCCCCCCGTGTGGTTCTGGGATCTTTGCTCACCGTTCTCATGATCATTTTGACCCCACGGGATGAGATCTTGCGTGGAGCCCCAGATCGAGGGAGATTATCAGTGGTCTTGTATGTCTTCCATTTTCTGATGATTGCTCCCACAGTTGATTTTTTCACACCAAGCTGCTTGCCTATTGTAGATTCACTCTTCCCAGTCTGGTGCAGGTCTACAATACTTTTCCTGGTGTCCTTCGAAAGCTCTTTGGTCTTGGCCATGGCGGAGTTTGGAGTCTGACTGTTTGAGGCTGTGGACAGGTGTCTTTTATACAGATGATGAGTTCAAACAGGTGCCATTCATACAGGTAACGAGTGGGGGACAGAAAAGCTTCTTACAGAAGACGTTACAGGTCTGTGAGAGCCAGAGATTTTCCTTGTTTGAGGTGACCAAATACTTATTTTCCACCCTGATTTACGAATAAATTCTTTACAAATCCTACCATGTGAATTCATGGATTTTTTTTTCACATTCTGTCTCTCACAGTTGAAGTGTACCTCTGGTGCAAATTACTGACCTCTGTCATCATTTTAAGTGGGGGAACTTGCACAATCGGTGGCTGACTAAATACTTTTTTGCCCCACTGTACCTATGACAAGAGGAAAAAAGTCTTTTTTGATGTTAAAGAGGAGCTTAAGTGGAAATGATGAGGAAGTTTAAGACCTCAGGCAGAAGGCTTCATCCTGCATCTCTGTAACTTTTATAAAGGGCCAGCCAGCTTTGCATAGATCTCTGTATCAGCATGAAGTCATAGAGAGGGAGTATACTTTGTATGGTCATCTCAGGCACACAGCTCTGGCTGTGAACTCTGGTGCTCCACCTTCCTGTTGTACAAACCTTTTCTTTATTATTCCTCCACTCAAGTCAGATTGTGGTATGACAGCAAAAACAGACGCAGACAGGCAGCGGTTTCTATTGCTTCCACAGAGAGTGAAGGTCCAGACAGAGTTTCTCTTACCAAGTGGTAAACATGGAAGAGATGTGCAGATCAGTTTGTAACAAAGGAATTAAATGCATCTGACTTTTTGTTCAACTTTCTGCTTATTTGGTTGCAACGTAGTCCTCCACATACATAGACTAGCACAATGTAAGCAGCATGTTAAGTCATTTATGTGCATGTAAACTGCTTTGTTGCATGGTAAGCAAAGCATGTAAGACACGAGCATCAAAGCAGGAGGTTGAGAGTCTGAGTCACCCTTGATTTTTCTTTCTTCTTTGTTTTTTTTGGTTCAACACAGAAACGTTTGCTGGTAATCGTCACGGTCTGCTGTTTTCTACATGCCTCAACATTTTATCCTAAAAGAATCTGATGGGAAGTATCTGTAGAAGATTTTGGGGAGTTAATCAAAATTAAAGATCACAGAGTGCCTTCAAAACATTTTTGATCTGCTTCACCACCAAAGGGGAAGATTAGAGGATTACTAAAGATACTGTGTAGGGAAATGAACATCTCAAACAAATTTCACAGCACTCAGTCCAACTGATGCTTCAGTCTGTAACAAAATTATGACCCAACATTTGAGCATTTTTGCAGTTATAGTAGAAAGAATGTAACACTCATTATATTACATATTGCAGAAGAAGAGCTACAGAATCAAGGCTTAAATCGAATCGAGGCTAACAACCCTCTCTGTGTTTGGATATGTTATTATTATGTAATTATGTTGACCTCCAAACATGATGCGTTTGTGGTGAAAGATTTATGGAGTCATCTGCAAAGCAGCCAAAAAAAACTGTTACCTTTGTGACCTTTGCATCTTTTGTTTAAATTTCTTAGCACCACAAATTAAATTCCTCTGAACCCCAGAGCACTGAACTGGACAACAATGAGATGCACAAATAAAGCTCAAAGTATCTGCATAGATAAGCGAGTACAGCTGTGTCATTTCTGTTTGTCAGTTGGATAAACTGAGCAAAACGCTGCAACAGATTCTCACTCATCTGCTCCGCCTAATCACAGAAAAGCACACCAGCACAGTCAGGCCGCGACTTCACGGTGGTCTGAGTTATCTGAGGGGAGACACGAAGAGCAGCAGAGACCAGTGATCAGATGTGTCACCCAGTGAACTTTCCATCCTCTCTGTGCGTTTATCTGTGGGCAGAAAAACAAACACACATACAGAGATGCTGATATGAAATCAGCCCTTCTCTTCACCGCTGTGCTGGAGCATCTGAGAAAACTCTGAGCTGAGATCAGACCACAGAGGGGAGACGTTTGATCTGTTTTTTTTTTTTTATTTCAGTTCAAATTAAATAAAGCTGCTGATTCCTGCACAGCTTCTGTTTTGCTTAAATAAAGTCTGTTCTGATTCAATGATTTTCAGTGTCTCACTGGAAGCTCCAGAACCTCTTTTTGCACACATCTTTGCATGCAAGTCTGGCTACTTTTTGCTGTATTTCCTCTGAAACAGCCCACATAAAACCACAGATTTAATTATCCTCATACTGCAAAATATGCTGATTGTGTTGTGGTAATTTGTCTTATTTTCCACTGTTCTTGTTGACAACTGGTTACAGAGAAAGAGCTAGAGGCCAGTGTCAGGCAAGTGGAAGCTGGCTGCTTAGAATCAACAGTTAAACTGTGTTGTATAATACTAAAAAGAAATATGAATGATTAGTTTTGCAGACAAACAGCTTTGATTTGAGCTACAGAGGGTATGTAGGTCTTTACTTATTCATGCTACACACAAAACTCCGGCTGAAAGCCTGCAGCATCAGAAATGGTGTTACAACAACTTCTACTTAAGACGATGTCTCCTCAAACTCGTCCACAGTGCTGTCAGGCTACAAAATAGTGATTTATCATTCTGAAGGTGAGTTATAAATAATTTACGCTACACATTTTAGCTCACAGGGGGCTCCTTTATCATTGCTTTTTAGTCTATTCTTCATAATGTTGGAAATGGGGACATCATTTAGACGAAAAGTGATTTGTACGTGCTGATTTCTAACATAAACCATGGGTTAGTTACCATGGAGATTTACCCAGGTAACAGCTGCATCACCTTTGTGGGTGGTTCGCTAAACCTCAAAGCCTGCTTAGCAGCACAGGCCTCTGGACAAAGAGTTTCCCCGTCTCCAACAAACCAACTAACAGCACACTGAAACTAGAGTTCAGCTTTTTCCCAATCAAATCCGGTAAAAATGATTTATCTGCAACTGTTCTGTGGTTGGTTTGCTTCCTCTTGCAATGCAAGCATTTTAAAGTGGGTCAAATCAGCCCACGAACTCTCCCAACATCATCCACAGGCCGAGCATGTGCTGCGTGGGACGTGGCATATACATTTTTTGTGATCAGAACCCAAACGGAAAACGGTGCTAAAACCTGTACACAACAGTTTCACTTGCACTGTGAAAATTCACTTCAAAGGATTCCAACTAAACTTTAAACTCTTATGATTAAAGCTACATTCAGCTGCTCCCTTATTTGAAAGAGGTCAGCGCGGCAGGGAGCTTTGCATGTTTGATTTGGCAGATTTTTACAGTGACCTTCCTGATGCAACCCCAGAAGCATTTGGGTCTCCTCCCAGAACCAAACCAAAGACCTTTTGCTTGTCAGATGAACACGTGAACTGCTACTGTAAAGAGCCAGAAGCTACATTTATTAGGAACAGGTAAACATTTTTTTTCTGTGAAAAGATGCTTCAACAACTGATTTTTATTTGTTTTTTATCCTTATGCTTCCTTTGTTTCCTAATTATGTCCTATAAAAACACTGATGAACACACACATTAACCTTTTTGGTTATAATTTGATATCATTTTGAGGGGAAAATTTAAAAAAGGATGAAAAAGAATAAAAAAATAGTTTTATTCCCTCAAATTATTAAGTGTATGCACGTGTAGTTGATACATAAAAGCTATACATGGAGGTAAATACATCGTAAATCAACAGCTGTGGTGTATCAATGATATTTGATCCATGAGTGATTTAATATTTTCATGTTTTCTTTATAGTTAGCATGTTTTTAACCATCCAAGCAGTTTCAAATTAACCACCTTGCAACCGCTCTGATTAATCTTCTACCTCATCTGAGAATCCAGGAACCCTGATAAACCAATACTGACAATGTTGCATTAACAGCGACGGGTCCAAGGCCTTCAGCTTCATTAGACAACAGACCTGAGAGTTTCAGCCGCTACAAAGTAGATATGAAAACCAAACACACAACTTTGATCAGGCTCCAAACACACACCAGTTTCTACACTGTAAAGACAAAAAATTCAGTCCTTCTTATATATTATGTTATGTTATCATGTAAAGGCTCTAATTGCTAGACATTACCTGAGATTGGACTGAGAGAGGATGAGAAAACTGAATGAATTCGCCAGCTAAAAAGGTTCAGGCCGGAAAAGGATTAAAAGAGTTGTTCACAAGCAGCTCAACTCCAATCACAGTGGTGCTTCATATAACTCATAACTGCGCTCACAGGCGCACAAACGTAAACACACCGCAGACGTCAAACTTGCCCTTTTGGTTGTCTCTGGGGTCTCTAAGGTGCTTGTGCAGGTGATGATGTAGTCGGGATAGACGGTGGACCAGCCACTCTCTGTACAGTTCCTGCTGAGGTTGCCTGAAAGAAAACCGACTGGTTTTAGAGCCTTTTAGAACTGAACTAGTAGATTTCATGAAACCTAACATCAGTGCTGCATATAAAGATATATTGCCCTGATTTTTTTTTTAAAGCTTCAGTGATATTTGTCCACAGATTTTAGATTTGGATAACTAGAATAACAATTATATAACACCAGTGCAATCAGATTCACAGCAGCAGTTGCCTGGACAGACAAACACAAAGTGGAGATGTTTGTTCCTAATCAGAGCGCCACATTTGGAGAAAACCAAACACAATTGTCAGCATGGTGGTGGAGGGCTCATGATTTGGGCTTGTTTTGAAGCCACAGGAACCTGGACACTCAAAGAATCAGCATAATGATGACACATGTCCGTTTTTACCCTCTCAAACAGCTGTCATCAGAGGCAGGCACATGCGTAGGCCTCAGTGAGGACTTTTGATACTGAGCAGCTACTGTTCTCGTCTGTGGTGCTGATTGTGGTGCTCATGTATTAATGCTGTGTGTTTCTGCAGAGGCAGCGAGAGGAGGATAAACCAGCCGCTCACTGATGCTACTGAGGGAAATCACAGAGGGTCGGACAGATGGCGTCAGCCGCTGTGCAAATGATCACAAACATTAACAGAAGCAGCTCAAGAAGCACTGGATGGAGACGATAAAAGAGCCACAAGTCAAAGTGAGAATGGCAGAAAGTTAAAAAAGAAAGAGGTCAAAGACGTTCTGTTATATTGAAAATACAACAAGTATTAAAGAATTTCAGTGGTAGTAAAAGCAAACATCTTTTCACTTAAGCTTACTTAATCACTCCTTCTTATTAGTGTTGGGACTGGTGGCATTTGAGTGAATCCACTGGATACTTAAAAAGGATTATTTTTCTGTATCAGAGTTCAACAAGATGAAGATTTCAAAGTTTTCAAGCACACAAAAACTAAATTATAATAAATAATAAAATGTTGAGTATGCCACAGTCTTTAAACAGTCCATAAACTGCTGCACAGTGCTGAGTCCTCAGACTTTGTGTGGCGGGGTCATACTAAGTGTCAGCTGTCTTAAAATGTTTTACATGTCGGGGGAAGTTGAAGCTTCCTTTAACTGAAAGTCTGTATAATTTCCAGAACACACTTTTTGTTTTTTTTAGCAAGTCAAGTGTGTGTGTGTGTGTGTGTGTGTGTGTGTGTGTGTGTGTGTGTGTGTGTGTGTGTGTGTGTGTTAACAAAGATGATTGAAGGGCAGCAGGAGGAAGTGTGTCTCTGAGAAGAAGCTCACCGTTCTTGTGAAAAAGCAGCAGGAAGGGGGTGGGACAGTGTAAGGTCAGCACATCGCCGACCGCGGCGCTCGGCCAACATGAAACGTTGTCCCACTCGCCGTGACATCCTGGACAGACATATACAGAGATACACACACACACACAGACATTAGAAGTGTGAACTTGCCTGCACAGAACTTCCTGTTTGCCTGAGCGACTTGTGTGGAGCTTCTGTGCGAGCTGCTGATTGAACGTGGACAATAAATCCAGCCCACATGAAAGCAGCCTGTGAGGTTTGGACATTTAGCTTTACTGCTCAGCCAGGAGGGACAAAGACATTCACGTAACACTCTGAAGGCCTCTTAATAGTTAAGTTAAAAATAAATGTAGCCTGATGAGGCCTGAGAGTAACTAATGCTGGTACTGTCCTTTAACATCAAACACACATGTGTATCTATAGAGCAGCGTGAGAAAAAGCTCACAGTCTGAAAGCTGAGACCACACAGATTAAACACATTTTATTATCTCTGTGCTCAAACATTCGCACACATGACCGTTCACAAACAGCCTCTGTATGTTTGTGCGTCAGTCTTTGGTTACTCGTGTTGTGGTTTCACACAGAAATCATCCTAATATAAGTCGTGAACATCTGGAGACTCTGCTGATGCCGACTGTGTGCAGCAGTCCTTCAAGCCTTTTATTCTTGCTGAAAAACAAGAGGTTAAAAATCAAAGCTACTTCGTCAGTCAGCTCAAGCATCACACAGAGGTTTGTGTGAGCACAGCAGGCATATCCATGGTGTCACTTTGTACGTTACCATCACTTTATGAATTAATGCGTGTTTCCATCCGGGGTACTTCTCAAAAAAGTAATGCATTACCTTACTTTATTTCTATATTGTCAGACATAAATTGTGACAGAAGGATAACAGGCCTCCAACTCGCACTGGAGCAGTTCACAGCCGAGCGTGAAGCTGCAGGAATGAAAATCAGCACCTCCGAAGAGTGGCTCATTCTGGGATGAGTTCCTGCCAAAGTGAAGGAGTTTAAGTATCTCAGGGTCTTATTCACGAGTGAGGGGAGAAGGGAGCGAGAGGTCGACAGATGGATTGCTGCTGCAGTGATGGAGATGCTGTACTGGTCCACTGTGGTGAACAGAGAGCTGAGTGAAAAGTGAAGCTCTCAGTTTACCTGTCAGTCTACGTCCCCACCTTCACCCATGGTCACGAGCTGTGGGTAGCGACCGAAAGAATGAGATTGCAGAATGAGTTTCCTCTGAAGGGTGGCTGGCCTCTCCCTTAGAGATAGGGTGAGGAGTTCAGCCATGCAGGAGGAGCTCTGGATGGGCCAGTTGAGGTGGTTCAGGCATCTGACTAGGATGCCTCCCAAGCACCTGCTGGGTGAGGTGTTCCAGGCATGTCCCACCAGGAGGAGGCCCCGGGGCAGACCCAGGACACGCTGGAGAGATTATATCTCTCGGCTGGCCGGGGAACACCTTGGTGTTCCACCAGACAAGTTAGAGGGTGTGGCCAGGCAGAAGGAGGTCTGGGCTTCTCTGCTTAGGCTGCTGCCCCTGATAAGTGCAAGAAGATGGATGGATGGATGGCAGGAAGAGTAGAAAGGGAAAGTTTACAAGATGGGGAAACCTGCTATGCTGTATCTTTTAGAGACTGTGGCACTGCTAAAATTCTCACTGGGAATGACCAATTGGACAAGATTGGAAATGAGTGCATCAACGGGATGGCTCAGGTGGAGCTGTTGGGAGACAAACATAGAGAGACAGGACTGAGATGGTTTGGGCATGTGCAGAGGGAACGTGGGTATATTGGACAAAGATGGCTGATTGTGAAGCTGCCAGGCAAGAGGAAAAGAGGAATACCTCAGAGGAGATTCATGGATGTACTGAAGGAGGACATGCAAAGGGTTGGTTTGACAGAGGAGGATGTTGCTGTGGTGACTTCCACTCTAATGAGGGCATATCAAAGTTGTGGAAAAATGAAGTCTTCAAGTCTGACTGCTCAATGCTTTTGTTATTTGCAGCATGCAGGTCACACAGTTTTCACTTTGCCTTCACGTTTTTATCCTTTCTTGATCAAAATAAATCATTTTTAAATCATCTGATTGTAGCACAAGTGCAGAAAAGAGGTATGTTTGATTTCTCTTCGATCCACCCTCCGAGCAGGTAACTGAAGAAGCCTTTTTAACATTTACAGCTAGCATTTGTGTATGTGTACATGTGTACATTTGTGTGTGTGCGTGTATGTGTGAGTTTGTGCCTTTTGTGGAGTGTTTGATCTCACAAGGTAAACAGCTCAGTGTTGCAACACCGTCTGAAATAGCGTCCAGAGACACACACCACTTCACATCAACTGATTTCATTCAGTGCACTCACACACACACACACACTTTTCCTTACTTGATATGGATCTGAATACTTTTCCGAGGCCTAATATTCAGTGATGTTCTTACAGCAGATTATTTTGCGTCTGCTCCTGCAGACGTATCGTAAAATACTTTGGATGGGGATTTCCAAACACTTGCTCGTGTGTGTTTCAGTGCATGCGTACCTGCATGAGTGGAA